ATTATTATTATTATTATTATTATTATTATTATTATTATTATTATCATTAATAGTTGTTGATTGTACAATATTGTACAGACATGATTTCTTTTCCTTCATGACATTTATACGTTTCAGTTCAAAAGTCATAAAAGCAGCAGAAATAAAAATGTGAAAATCAGAGACAGTTTAAAAAAAAAGCCAACCTTTTTTTATTTTATTTTTTCTTTTTAATCTTGTGTCCACTTTATTCCAGTTGGTGGCGGTATTGCTCCTTTTAAGCTGGTTTGGCCATAGAACGGAAGAAGAAACGAAAACTGTGTTTGTTGGTTGTCTGCAGACATGTCGGGCAGCAGGTTGATGAGAGCTATCAGAGTCAGGGAGTTTGGAGCTCCGTCTGTCCTCAGACTGTGTCCAGATGTCCCTGTCCCTTCGCCTGGACAAAGACAGGTGAGACCACAGGCTGTCTGCTGCAGGAAATGCTGAAAGGGTCAAAGTTCACACAGTTTAGCCACCGAGTAAAAACAAACTCCGTGTCTTAAATCTTTACAGCCACAAATTATTATAACATGTCCTTCAGTGTGTGTTAGCACAGCTGCTAAACTCAAGAGATGAAGCAGTTTAGTCTCAACACAACAGACAGCTGGAAAAATAATAAACAGGACTTTCAGTCTTTGTTACCAGCAGCCTGTTAACGAGTCACACTTTTACTTTTTAGTTGAATCTCTGAAAAACACAAGAGAACACAACATGAGACATAAAATAGTGTTTTAGCTCCAACAAGGTGAGCTAGTAAAAACTTGAGGAGTTTCAGATATTCTTCATCTGAGCCCTGTTTCAGAAAGCAGGCTCAACCAACTCTGGGTTAACACAGATACTCTGAATCAACTTACCCTGCTCTGTGATACTCAGGATTTTCGGTTTCACAACAGATGATATCAATTGGGTAACTTAACTCGGAGTGAAGTTACCCCTTGAGCTCAAGTATTTAAAGCGTAACTTACCCCAAAATTAACTTTTTTATCTGATAAACTGTCTAGAATGTGTCTAAAATGTTATATAGTACTGTTTCTGTGCTAATTTTGATGTTTTTGTGTGTATTTGTTCAAATCTGTAATATTTGGTCTAAAAACGTGTTTTTGCTGCTCATATGGGTGGAGCAGTGGTACTGCAGGCTAATTTACATATTGGTTAACGGCTCTCCACGGTGACGTGTCTTCTCCACGGTTTCGTCACAGCGGCTGTGTTCTGGTATAAAAGCCTCTCTCTAAGACACGCCCCTGCAGCAGTCAGAGGGTGGAACAGTTAGCAAGCTTAGCATGATCGTCTGTTGACCTTCAGCCTCGGGTGGGGAGAGCTGACTGCTGCGTCTCTCTCTCTCTCTCTCTCTCTCTCTCTGTCTCTCTCTCTGTCCCCCCGGTCCCACACACACACAAGCAGTATGTCCTGCATAGCGGGAGGGGAGGAGGGAAAAAGGCAGACAGACAGGGGGGCAGCTGCAGCCCTAACGGACCGAACTTCAGTCAAACAAGACCCAACACTTTTATTCCTGATTTAAACTAGCGATCTTGTGAGCAGCTGGATGCTTTTATTTATTTTTTTTATGTCAGGCTGTCACAGAGCGCTCCTCCTCCTCTGTCCGAGGCTGGTGTGTTGTGAGGCGGACAGCTCAGCCGAGGCTACTGGAGCTGGAGCTCAAGGTCCTGACCCAGGGAGCCAACATGAGTCAGTCCCAGACTGAGCTGACTTGATCAAGACTCTCTCTGCCTCTGGTGAGGAGGGGGGTGAAAAATCCTCCACCTCTTACTGTTTAGAGATGTAACTATCTGCGTCGCTGTGGTCACTCTCCATGTAGCATCAATTATGCTAATGCTAGCTGTCGCGTTCTCTCATCCTGGCCACACGTCCGTTCTCTAACCCCGCCTCCCCCCCACCAACTTTGATGCATTTTTTAAATTTCACCTTGGGGCGGAGTTATCTCGGGGGGGGGGGGGGGGTGGTAAGATACACTTTAAGAAGCCCTTATCAATGGAAGTCAGATAATGCGATTCACCATGGAAATGGCAGAAAACGGGAAGAATCGAAGTCCATATTTCTCACCACTGGAACTATTAATGACGTCATACGGACAATACCAACATATATTTACCAAAAAAAGCAATACTGTTGCCGCTGCAAGAGAAATAGTTAGTGTGGCAGAGAATTTCTGACCAAGTCATTGCGTGAGTATGATTTGACAGAAAGCTAATAATTTATTCTTTATAATTTTTGAAGTAAAAAAAAGTGTGTGTGTGTGGGGGGGAGGAATGCAACCCAGCCGGTCCCAAACGGACGGCAGCAAATAAAAATGTAGTCAAATCAGGTAAGCGCCAGTTAAATGCTGTTGTGTTCAATCTTTAATAAATTAATTAAATGATTCTCTAGCTACATTGAGCCCATGAAAGTAACGTGTTCCACAAAAAAAATAAAATGCATTACCTTCTCTCTACCAATAAATAAAATGTACACGCAAAAATAGCATGTGTCTAATTAATTTCTGACCTTCATTACAGCAAGTGTGTAAAAGGCAGATGCCAGAAAGACAGGTGGGGGTCCTCCACCACTATCAGAAGCCGAAGAGCTGGCCCTGAGTCACAATAGTGGGCGACTTATAGCTGAGGGCATCCCTGGGGGAACTTCATCTGTCCCAACCATGCCCCAGGACAACAACAGTTATGTTAAAGGTTAGCTCTTGAAGTAATTTATTTACTCATTTTACCGTTTCCCAGTATCCCAGCCATACATCTTCAAGTGTAGTTGTCATTGATGCTTTTGTATCCAGTTTGTGACTATGGGTGCTCTTACAACATTAACCTTATGTAAATTGAAATAAAGGTGCAGTCACATAATCTAAGGAATGTGTTTGGTTTTAAGTGGCACATTATTATGGAAGTCTAAATTAAATATCCCATCATTTGTCTCAYCAGTGGTGGATGGTGTTCTGTCTCTTGAGGTTCCTTCTGGGTCACAGATCTTTGTTGCTGCTGTAAGGATTATTATTATTATTTAAAATTATTATTTTTTATTTTGTATTTATGAAAAGTTTTTAAGTGCATTTCAGTACGGTAAATCCATTTTATTATATTTCATCACAGGATGATGATGAAGAAACTTTGTCAGCTGTCACAGAGAGGGGGTAGACCCAGGTGCATGTGGATGTGTTGCTTTACTGTAGGTTTAAATTTTATTCAAATTTTATTGTGTAAAATAATGACTGTTAATTTTAACTGAGGATCAGCTGACGAAGGTCCATCTAACTCTGGAGCGTGAAAACCGGTAGCACTCAAACAAATAATCGTCTGGAAATGAGAACACATCTAATCTCGGTCTGATTACTCTCTCCCGACGTAGATTTCTGCAGAGTATTAAAGCTCCTTTGTCCACAGGCTCCTGGAGAAAAGGACACGCCATGTCTGACACTTCCTCATGACAGCTGTCACCTAAATAGTCAGACTAACCCAGGATATGTTCAAGTAAAGCAGGGTTGGTTCACGGAGTAAGTTTCAGGGGTAACTTAACTCAGGGTAACTGCTATCTGGCTTTCTGAAACCAAAAACACGGGGTATGCACCTAGTTACCCCAAAACTTACTCAGGGTTTGCACTTACCCTGCTTTCTGAAACGGGGCTCTGCTGTTTTATTTTGGCTTCATTTGTCCTTTGTTCTGTGGAGAACACACTGCACCAAATGGAGTCACGTTACACAAACACAGGACAGGTAAAGAAATTAACTTTTAAAAACTGTTTTTTTTTGTCCCTCTGTGTCCACATTTTGAAATATCTCTAAGGTTGTTGTTGTTGTTGTTGTTGTTTTTCTTCTTTTTTGTCACTTCAGTAGAAAATGAAACCAAATATTAGTTTATTTATTTCTTCATCATCAGTGACTTTTTTTAAGTGAAGAGAAAATAGAGACAGAGAGAAAAACAGAGAGAGAAGTAATTAGAAATAAATATTGAAATAGTGATTAGAAGTATATTAAATATACACCAACAAAACACAGGACCACACACCCAACATCTGTCCGCTCACCTGAAAAATAAATGGATAAATACATGGAGGGCATATATAAAAATATACACATACCCATACATACGGCATATAAAGATATACATACATACATGAGACCAGAACCCAAGGCCCCGAGCGCAGAGCCCCAAGGGGCACCCGCACGGGAAGATCCGCCCACCCAACCCCCAGATCAGACCGTAGGGGAGAACTGGGAGAGTCCCCCCAGCAAACACACACACACAGCCCCCGGGGCAGGCAGCAACAAACTCATGGGCCCCACCGGCACCTGCCATACCAGAGCAGATCCAAGAAAGGGCACAGAGGTCCGGGCCCCCAGGGCGCACCCCCTCCAGGCCAAAGCCCGACAGGTCCAGAGGTCCCGAGCCCCAGCAGGCAGTCACCAGGCCAGGCCGGCACACACCCCAGCGCCCAGCCCCAGACCCCGGAAACCCCCAGCACGCCGGCGGCCAGCCGCAYACCCCWCCGGGGGGCCGAGTAGCAGCGGGCCCCCAGATAAACCAGTAGGAGGGGCAGCCCAGACCACAGCCTGACAAATATCCAAACATACACAATCGCACCATCCCACCCTCATCCTCACCCCCACTCAAAGACATTCAAGGACGCCACATTCCACTCATACCCCCGATACACACTCTAGACCCCCCAGGTCCAGGACATGTACCCACACCCTAATGGAGGCCGCACACACCCAAACCCAGGAGGTAGACCCAATCATTCTGAGGTGGAGAGGAGCAGATAGCCAAGGCCCGGCCCAGGCCGCACCAGGACGCCCGGCCAGCCCCCCGCCGCAGAGAAGCCACACCCATGACCACCCCACCACACCGCCAATGACCAAGTCCACCCCCCGGAACCCGGCAGCCACCCCAGCCAGGGGACCACCCACAGGAACCAAGAGCCACACCTCAGGAGACCAAGTAGCACCAGGGAGGATGGAGAGCCAGCCCCGCTCCCGGCAACCGTCCAAGCCCCGAGCCCACCCACAGCCCAGGACTGCACCTGGCGGTCCGCCCTTCTTCAGGACCCCCTCCCCTTTCTGAAACGGGGCTCTGCTGTTTTATTCTGGCTTCATTTGTCCTTTCTTCTGTGGAGAACACACTGCTCTAAATGGAGTCGTGTTACACAAACACAGGACAGGTAAATTAAGTACAATCTAAAGTCTAAAAGAAATTAACTTTTAAAAATTGTTTTTTTTTGTCCCTCTGTGTCCACATTTTGAAATGTCTCTAAGGTTGTTGTTGTTGTTGTTAACATTTTTCCACAACTTCCTGTCTCTGTGATGGTGTGAAGGTGTTGATCCGAGTCCGTGCCTGTGGGGTGAACCCCGTAGAGACGTACATCCGCTCCGGATCTTACGCCCGGAAGCCGACCCTGCCGTACACGCCAGGTTCTGATGTGGCCGGAGTGGTGGAGGCAGTCGGAGAGGACGTCACCGCAGTCAAGGTAAAACCGTGTGGGACGGATCAGACGCACAAATAAACGTGCCGCCTCGGCAACGTTTGAGAATCTTTGTGTTTTCCAGGCTGGGGATCGTGTGTTCACCACAGCCACAGAGTCTGGAGGCTACGCAGAGTTCACTGTAGCTGCTGACGACTGCGTTCACAAGCTGCCCGATGCTTTAGACTTCTCACAGGGAGCAGCCATCGGCATCCCGTACTTCACTGCCTACAGAGCTCTGGTTCACAAGTAAGACCACACCATTCCACCACTTGTCCACACCTTTCCACCACTTGTCCACACCTTTCCACCACCTGTCCACACCTTTCCACCACCTGTCCACCACCTGTCCACACCTTTCCACATTCTGTCCACACCTTTCCACCATCTGTCCACACCTTTCCACCATCTGTCCACCACTTGTCCACACCTATCCACCACCTTTCCCCCACCTTTCCACCACCTGTCCATCACCTGTCCATACCTCTCCACCACCTGTCCACCACTTGTCCACCACCTGTCCATCACCTTTCCACCATCTGTCCACCACTTGTCCACACCTATCCACCACCTTTCCCCCACCTTTCCACCACCTGTTCACACCTGTCCATACCTGTCCATCACCTGTCCACCACTTGTCCACCACCTGTCCACCACTTGTCCACCACCTGTCCACCACTTGTCCAGCACCTGTCCACCACCTTTCCATCACTTGTCCATCACCTTTCCACCATCTGTCCACACCTTTCCACCATCTGTCCACCACTTGTCCACACCTATCCACCACCTTTCCCCCACCTTTCCACCACCTGTTCACACCTGTCCATACCTGTCCACCACCTGTCCATACCTCTCCACCACCTGTCCACCACTTGTCCACCACCTGTCCACCACTTGTCCACCACCTTTCCACCACCTGTCCACCACCTTTCCATCACTTGTCCACACCTTTCCCCCACCTTTCCACCACCTGTTCACACCTGTCCAGCACTTGTCCAGCACTTGTCCACATCTGTCCACCACCTTTCCACCATCTGTCCAGCACTTGTCCACCACCTGTCCATCACCTGTCCAGCACTTGTCCACATCTGTCCACCACCTTTCCACCATCTGTCCAGCACTTGTCCACCACCTGTCCATCATCTTTCCACCACCTGTCCACATCTGTCCACCACTTGTCCACACCTTTCCACCACCTGTCCACACCTGTCCACCACCTGTCCACACCATTCCACCACCTGTCCACCACCTGTCCATCACCTGTCCACCCCTTTCCACCACCTGTTCACACCTGTCCACCACCTTTCCACCATCTGTCCACACCTTTCCACCATCTTTCCACCACCTGTCCACACCTTTCCACCACCTGTTCACACCTTTCCACCATCTGTCCACCACTTGTCCACACCTTTCCACCACCTGTCCACACCTTTCCACCATCTTTCCACCACCTGTCCACACCTTTCCACCACCTGTTCACACCTGTCCACCACCTGTCCACCACCTGTCCACACCTTTCCACCACCTGTTCACACCTGTCCACCATCTGTCCACCACCTGTCCATCACCTGTCCATCACCTGTCCACCATCTGTCCACCACCTGTTCACACCTTTCCACACCTGTCCATCACCTGTCCACACGTGTCCACCACCTGTCCAGGAGGCAGCTTTTACACTAAAGGAGAAGCTCAAATCAAAAGTGCAGAGATTCTTCTGTATTTAAAAGATTCCTTCATAGATGTCAATTATCAGTTATTTTTAAAATACAGGGTGTCTGCAGGTCCTTTTTTAAAAGTCTTAAATTTACATATCTGAAATTAAGACCTTAAAAAGTCTTAAATTTGATTTAAAAAATGTGCATCATCATCTGTGCAAACTTTAAAATATCACCGTTTTAACGTTCTATTAGGTTCGGCGGGGTGGTCTCATTGACACATGGTCAGGGCTGCCCAACCCTGGTCTTCAAGAGCCCCTACCCAGCATGTTTTACTTGTTCCCCTGCTCTTCAGCAGGTCTTCACAAGATTGTTAATCACTCTTCATTCAAACCAGGTGTGTCAAATCAGGGAAACATCTAAAAATCACTGCTTGAAATGTTGACCAACACCTCAAGAGCTTCTCTGAGCTTGATGAGACATTTTCAAAATATAATATTGACTCAGTTTTATGTTTTTTAGTATTGCTTCTCGAAGCCGTTGATTCTTTGCCATTTATTTGTAAATAATAAATCAGATCACATGTATTAAAGCAGTGATTCTCAACCTTGGTCCTCAAGGACTCCTTTCCTGCATGTTTAGATGTTTCCCTGATGTATGAGCGTTCACACTGCAGTCGCTTTGAAAACATCAGATATGTATCCGATTTAAAACCACATACTGAAACGGCCTGGGTCGGATTTGAAAAAAGCGTATTTGTCGCATTCAGACTGTCATTAAAAAAATTGGATATGGGTCAGATGGGGCAAAAAAAATTGGATTTGGATCGCATTTGCCTGCAGTGTGAACGTAGCCTCTGTGAGATCAGGAACACGATGGTGGTTTCTTACAGTAACAAAGTATATCTGCTTATTTTCTTAAAAATATGAAGTGAAAACATCATCATGAATCCATCTGAGTCAAACTATAGACCTATATCCTGACAGACCAAGTGTTCCTGACCTTTTTCTTTGCGTGAACTGACACATTACGGACTCTGCTGTGTTTTGAAACCAGAGTCTGAGCGTGTGACGTGCAGCTTTAAATCCCGCCTCCTTCCCTACAGATGAACATGGTGCCACATGACMCCCCCCCCCCCCCCCATTATAAAAAGATTCATTACAGTTAAATGAAAAATGAATATTTGCACAGCAGCAAGATAAGAACTGAGTCAAACATAGAGTTTAGAGGTGGACCACCAGACCTGAATCTGTGCTGAAGTCTCAGTCACAYATTCATCCTCTGAAACTCAACTTTAATAAGTTAACCAGGCTGAATTATGGTGACCTGAGTTCAGTTATTCCCACAGTACCAGAGTTACTGTGAACATGAGGCAGGTTAGGGTTTAAGTTCTCTGATGTTGAACTTAATACATAATCAAACTAACATCTTAAAATCACCAGTTTCATTAAAGTGGTGACATCATTACTGCCATATGTAACCTTTGTATGTGCATGTGCACAGGCTTCCTATGTCCAAATATTTTAGACGTTATGAATGAACTGAAGTACTTTTCATTAATTTTGTTCTCATTAGTGAAACAACAGTGAGTATACAACAAAAAGGATTACACGAGAAGTACAACTGATGAGTGTTTATAATATAACAACAGACTAAAACTGCTTAAAGTTGATTTACATTTACTACAAGGTCTGAACACTTGATGGTACATTTAAACTCTGCAGAATCCAGAGTGTATTTTTTTTTATTTTATTTTTTTATCCACTGATCCTCTAACTTCATGTTCTCCAGCTGTGTTAGAGGAAACACTGCCCCCTGGTGGTGCAAATATGAATTTCACTGAAGCCAGCAGAGGGTTTGATTTGCAGCAAATTTCATAAAATGTGAAATCAGAAGGATTTAGTTTGATTTTGTAGCACAACAATTTAGAAATGTGAGTGAATTAGAGAAATGATGTAGGGCTCCCAGCTGGTCGGTGGGCAGCGCCGTGGTCTCAGAAACCTGAGGCTGCTGGTTTGAGCCCAGGTTGTCTGGAAGAGCACTTGGTATGAAATAATTCTTTTATTTTATTTTATTCAGTGAGGATGATGGCTGTGTCAATCCCTGAAGAAGGGAGCAGCCAAAAAAAATTGCTAAGAGAAATGACAGTTCTGAACTACTCATAAAAAATGGCTTGAATGTTTAAAACCTATTATTAATATCTTTTGGTTTATAAGTTATCTTTACACATGAGCTAAGAAAGCAGGGAAATACTCAAATAAAATTAAACAGTAAAACGTACTGTTTAGAAAGGAAATTACTGCAACAAAAAGATAAAATATAACCTATACAAATAATTCTCAGATGATTTTTTTTGTTTGACTCTGCAGAGCTCGAGTCAAACCTGGAGAGACGGTCCTGGTTCACGGAGCGAGCGGTGGGGTGAGAACAGCTTTTACATTGGATTTAAATAAAACTGTTTTTAATCTGGGAGTAAAGTTTGTTTATTAAACCAGGGAACAGGAAAKACCATTAGTGACTGAAAACAGAAAAGTTCAAATGAGATCAAAGTTTGAAGCTTTAAGACAAGAATATATAACATTTAAGAACTGATGAATCRTCTTGATTTGTTTCCTCTTTTGGAAGTGAGCATCTTTACGGCTAAAATTTAAGACAATAAAAACATCAAATAGGGCTATAGCTCCGTCATTTTAGTAAATATTTAGCGCAAATTTCATATGGTATTAGCTAGGGCTGCAACTAACTATTATTACAATAAGCGAATAACCRTTTTATTTTATTTTTATTAATCGATGAATTGTAAAACAAAAACATTTTTAGTTTTGACTTTATTCATTCCAAAATAGAGAATTTGTCAGCAAATTAAAACTTAAAGCTTAATTATTGAATGAATGCCATCATAAATCGCCCGACATAATAAATCGATAATGAAATTTGTTGCCAACAGTTTTAATAATCGATTTTATTGGTTAGAGCTGACAGTTGTTCATAACACATACTTTAAGCGTGACGTCTCTGATATCACATGATATTTAGTAAAGCATTTTCAGGGTTTGACTAAAACGGCTACAACTCCGTCATTTCTTCATAGAAAATCTTTTCAGTCTAAAACTGCATTCCTTCACAGAACACTAGGCGTTTAATCAGTACAGTTTTTGGTAGTTTTTAGACGGGTTTTCAAAAATAAAATTGGCTCCTGGTTTGTTCAGATTCACGTTTTTGCCACCTTTTATGATGACATCAGTTTTATGAACAGAAATGATTAGAACAATAATCACAGACGAGTACATTTTTTAAAAAATATTCTTGTTTTTGGATTTATCGTATTTTATTTGTTGGCTTCTAACCTGGATCAGTGAGTCACCAGGTTCTCCTCCACCTTCAGGTGGGTGTGGCGGCGTGCCAGCTGGCCCACGCTCTGGGTCTGAGGGTTTTGGGGACAGCGGGGACATCAGTGGGGATGAAGCTGGCTCTGAGTAACGGCGCTCACCWGGTCTTTAACCACAGAGAGGAGGGCTACACCAGGCGGATCATGGTAGACTCACACAGGAGGAAAAAAGAAACCAAATCTTTCAGTCTGTGACTGATGCAGAGTCAGTAACTGTGTTTTCCAGGAGGCCACAGAGGACCGAGGTGTGGACGTGATCGTGGAGATGCTGTCCAATGTGAACCTCAGCAAAGACCTCCAGATGTTGGCCTACGGAGGACGAGTGATGGTCAGTAGGACGTCAGTCTGTCGTTCTGTTTTCTCTGCTGTGCTGAAGGTGTTTTCTTTCCTCTGCAGGTCGTCGGCTCCAGAGGTCCCGTACAGATCAACCCCAGGGACACCATGACCAAAGAGAGCAGCATCACCGGGGTGGCCCTGTTCTGTGCAACACCGGTACGCTGCACAACGTCTAYGCTTCCATCTGATAAACCGTAGCTTTGTGCTCATCCCTCTCCTCTTCTCCCTCAGGAGAAGACGAAGGAGTGCGCTGCGCTGCTCTTCGCAGGGATGGAAGCCGGCTGGCTGCGTCCGGTCGTCGGCTCCCAGTATCCACTGGAACTGGCTGCGCAGACCCACCATGACATCATCGAGAGTTGCGGGGCTGCTGGGAAAATTGTCCTGACCATGTGATGGCGTGACCCAAGTGAAGTTCATAAATACTTATCATTTTATATGAAAGAAGATGAGTAAAAGAAAAGAAAACATGAAAATAATTTTCATTGTCTCACTTTGAATGAGTTTATTATAAAGGTTAAAAGTTAACAGAGCGTTATGACTTCAGTGATGCAATAAACTCATCTGAATTAAAAGATGTGCTCAGATAAACACCTGCTTTGCTTTAAATATTTGAAAAAAATTACTACTAAAATAATGTTTTTTTAATACTTTGAACACATTGTGTCAGCCATAACTTCACAATAAACACTAACATTTTTAAACTGGATCATCCGATTCATTTGTTCTTTTGTCACATTTGAACTCGTCTGTTCAACATGACACCTGTGTTCCTCAGGTGACGGTCTCTACTGAGCATGCTCACAACACAGCAGAGTAACATAAGCCTGACACACTTACACACAAACACACACACGAGATGTTTGGACCCGTATAGCAGCCAGACGCAGACGAAGCTCGGAGGTCTGGATTATCAAAAGTTTGGGATAGGTGAGCAGTTTGGTGTTTAATCTTAAATAATTTCAGATTATAACCTGAGCATTTTGACTAGTTGATTTACTCTTTGAATTCAATTGTCAGAATTATCTTTTTAACTTATTTTTTAAATTTATTCTGTAAATCTAAAAAGTAATCCCACTAATTTGCATTCACTTCTCAGTGGATTATCAGTGCAACAAATTGCACAAGTTAGCAGTTGTATTTTATGAAGGGATTGAGGTCCTGTAGGTTTTAAATAATATATTAAATGTTTCTGCATTTTGTAAACTATTTTAAACAGATTAATACAGGAATTGGAGACATTTAAAACACTTTTACTGTTCAAAGAGATTTGCTGTGATGAGTTCATCCAACATGTGTATTCCTGGAAAAATTACATAAAACGTGTGTGTTTATCAGAGCAGAGACAACACTGCCTGACTGAGAATACTTCTAAATGGTCTAAAATCCTAATTTCATTGGTTTTTATTAGTTAAAAATCGTTTAATTAAACAAAGCCTGTACTGTGAGCTTATTTTAAGGCCATCATATTGGCAGGTAGTTGATATGTCCAAAGGATACAGAGTAACACAAATAAGCCTCAAAGGAAAAGGAATAGTTAAAAAAAACACAAAGAAGCGATCATCTACAGAGTAAATCTGTGTGGAATTGAACACAGTTACAGAGTCTGACACACTGAAACTTCAGGTCAAAAAATCACAGAGTTATGACAGATTAGGAGGCTTCGTGTGTTTCTGATGAAAGAACTGATATCTTTGGAGTGAAATTATTCTTTTCAGCTGCTTGTTGCTATTTTGCTGTTCAGAGACAGTTCTTAACAACTGAGGAGGCAATAGCTATCACTTTTTTTTGCCCCCACATGGGTCAGACAGTTTGATATATTGTATTAACTTTCTAACTTTCACATACAGCGGGTAAAATAAGTATTGAACACGTCACCATTTTTCTCAGTAAATATATTACTAGAGGTGCTAATGACATGAAATTTTCACCAGATGTTGGT